AACCAAAAAAGGGGGGAAGGGAGAAAGTTGGGCCTTGGCTTTGTATTGTACTTTTCTTTTCTTTGTTTGCCGAATTTGGCAAATTCAGAATATCAATTTTACCTACATTTTGTTTTCAATTTCTTTTTTTGTTAAATTAATAAAATCAACAAATTTTGTTTATTTGTTAAGGACAAGTTAAAGAGAGGACATGCCATTTGCTTCGGTGCAGTGTCAAAGAAAATAGTTTATTGTTAGATTATCTAGTATGTTATGTTGTCAAAATATCACATTATATTACCGTAATATTGATACGGAAATTAATTATGTTTTTTTTTTCCGGAATTTGAAATAGATTAATTAACATCAAATAAATGGTATGGTAAAAGAAAAAAAAATTCAAACAAATGGCTTTGCGACTTTGATGAAATGGGGCCATAGGAAGCATCTATAGTGCTGATGAAGTGCCTTTGCTTCTGCAAATGGTTGACATAAAGCACTCATGCACATGAGGAGGAGCTAGCTCATTGGCTCACAACTCCAAATTCCAAGATTTGTTTTCGTTTTTTTAATCAGTCAATTCTTCCTCCTTAGCTTTTCATTGATTGAAAGTCAATCATTTTCAGCTACCAAAAATTGCACAATTTTGTCCAAGTTTTCAAGCATCCCACACTCACAAACATATTATTAGGTAGCATGAATATGTCATATATTTTTTATTATCCTGTCTTACTTTTTTAATATATTTATAAGTGTGTATGCACGATAATAACATTTAAACATTCATAAAAGAGGAAATATATATCATAAGGTCAATGGAGAACTGCATGAAATAATAGCCTTTGGCTCAAACTCGAGAAATTTTTGGAGCACAAAAAGAGCAACATCCAAAAAGAGTAGCAACTAGAATTGTGATTGATCGGTGGGCACCTTTTTGTGAGTATCGAGGGCCCAAATTTCAGGGCATTTTAAGAGAATAATCAGGCGGGCAGGCAGGCAGGCAGGCAGACAGGCAGGAGGAGCTAGCTAGAAGAAGAGCATGGGATTCAGTGAAATTATGAAATGGTGGAATTTAATTTAGAAAAGTAGTTTGTTCATTGATACGTCGTTTTGTGTACGTACCATTTTACATGAAAGTGCGTTTTAAAAACTTTGAAAACCAATGCGACCAGCAAGAGGAGATAAAGAGTAAATAAAACAATTTCAAGGGGAATTTTGGCATTGGCCGCTTGCTGCATAGTGCATAAGCTTGCGACAATGGTGCAGGGAAGGTCATGTGGGGGGGATCATTAAACAACGAATTAGGTACACTTGGGGACTGATTTAACTGTCCACCCGATCCTGGACATTTGCCCTTCCATGGGCTCCACTGTCTTATTATTAGTCTTCATATTCATCAATTTGTTATGTTCATTCTAAGGGTGTGAACTGTGATTAATTATAAGGGACGTAATCACGGTCATTTAAGATTAAATTAGATAGATCACACATACATACGTATAATTTAACTATGTTATATTGAGAGAGTGAGTAGATTGAATGTCTTAAAAGGAGGAAATTTAATAAAGTATATAGATATATTTGACATTTTCTATATATCATATCATTTTTCTGAATTAGAAGGGAAATAAATATTCAAATATTCGAGACTACTTTCTTTAGTATAGAAAAAGAAATATCATTAGGCTAAGAACTAGTTGATATAATTGAGAAGTAGTCACCCGAATGGAATGAAGAGAATGAGAACAAGATTACTTTAGACAATGCACAGATAGATATGGCCACTTTACATCAAAACTGAACACAAATTAAAATATGATGTGCACATAAAATACAATGGGAGGCTTTCACTTCATGGAAAGACAATGCCAAGTGATGGGTCATACAAAGCTAAGAAGATGGGTACACATAATAATAATAATGCTCCACCTTTACCTTATCCTGCCTTTGAAAGGCCACAACATCATATACGTAGAAGACTAGAACAAGGGTACGCAAAAGTACACATATGCATGCTTGCTTTCAATTTTTTTTTTTTTAAATTTTAATTAATTTCCTTTATATATCATATATATAATATGAATGATGAGCAGATTGAATTGAATGAGCAGAGAATGTGAAATGGAGGAGGCTCGGGGGGGTTTGCATGTGGATGATGAAACCCAAGCACATGGCGTACGTGACGTGCATGCCTGCATCTGTTTCTGTTTAATTATATTTTGGATAATATATCCAATTGTTTTATTTTTCCAGAATGGCTTTGCTTCCCAGTTGTCTCCAAGATCTTTCCCACCCATGTTATTTCTTAACCAGATATATGATATATGTTTCTTGTCCCCTCCATAGCTACCTTTTTATGACTTTGCATCTCTCTCTCTCCCTCTCCCTCATATTTTTTATTTTGTGTGAATTTATTATTATGACCATTATAATTTCACACTTAATTAGTTGCGTATGTAGAAATTAATTAAGATGGGAGGGAAGTTCAACTTGGGTAGAGCGACAAGCAATTTCACATGTTTTGGTTTATTAATGGGAAGTTAGGTAAAATGACCTATAGGAGGCAATATAATGGGTTTTTACAGGAACGTACGTTATAGCATAAGTGAAATGATAACATCTAGTGACGAAGAGTGGTACGATTGTAATAGCATGCTTTGGTCAAGACTCATCAAGAATCAGAACCCTGCAGTATGCAAATGGTAATTTAGAATTGCCAAGTAACTGTAAAGATGACTTATGTGAGTTGGCCTAATCATGTGTTATAATTATCGTATTAGAATGAGATAATGAGATTTATGTTTATTAGTTATTGTTAAACTTTCAATTTTGACGAACTTTTGTTACTTATGTTTATATTGACTATGACTCAATCACTTAAGTATATTAGTTTGGTTTAAACTCTTTATCTATATAATAGGAGAGAAAGTGTTAAGGTTTGCTCAATATAAAAGAATCGGTCCCTCCTCTCACAATACACGAGTTTTGTAGTGTGCTTAACCTATTGATAGCAAGAACATTCTGGTGTTACAGAGAGAAGAAGATCATTCTCATAATTGCCATGTCTTCTTCATTCAATATGAATCGATCGATAACTCTGCTTTTATTCATGTTGTAATATTCATGTATTTATTGTATTTAACTTCAATTAATCTAACAGTAACTAGGTGGAAGCATATAGTATAAAGGTAATGATAAAAGCCGATCAGGAATTAATCGACCAGACTGAAAAGGAAAAGGGGTTTCTTTTGAGACGAAAAGGATTTCAAAAAAGAAAAAAATAAGTTAGCATTGCGAGACCACATTCTTTTGAGATGTTAAAAGAACCCCACATGAGCACGAAATGAGTTTTTGAAACATGAACAAAATATGCCAAATAGAATGGATGGAAGCTTACAAATGGTAATGAGCAAAAACAATGACAGATTGGCCAATTAGGCTTTTCTTTTTCAAAAGGAGCAAGTTGCATCAAGCAAAGAAAAGGTCTCTCTTCCCATGAACCTCTCCATTCTATGTGACCTTCCTCTTCACATGGCCCAACAGATGGTTTTGTTTCATGTCATGAGGTTCTGGTCTGTTTGGGTCCTGTGTGTGATTTTGACATGTACATCTGGCAAAGGATCATATCATTTCATGGAACAATTAAAAAAACACAAAAATCTTCCTATTTTTTCTTCAAATGCACGACATGAACAAGAGGTTTAAGTTTGACCCCCCACTTGTTTGACCAAATTTGATAAACAAACTAAGCATGCCCACATTAAGTTCCAAGTTTTTTTTTTTGGGTCCGAACATAAGATCCAAGCTTATGCATTGCAGATTTGCAGTCAAACAACAGGTTTCAATTGCCAGCTCTTTACAGAAGATTGCTGAGTAACTTAGAGAGCAATGTAATATTGATCATCTAACTAATTAATAAACATTAAGGTAAACTGTCATTGACTTAACACATATTCTTGGTAGCCCAAGTAACATGATTTCACTAGAGAGCGAGAGAGAGAGGGGTGGTGTGTTAGGGGGGGAGATAAGCAGGCACATGGCTATGCAGAAAAACCAGTTGGCTATCTTTAGTAGGCTTCAATTCCTCTCCTAGGCTCCTCCTAGACTTGTTTGTTTATTATTCTTGTTAACCTTGTTGTAATGTTTGGCTGCATTGGTTGGTCAACATGATTACCATGTTAATGGTCTTGCCACTTAATTAAAATTGGGGTTTCCTCTTTTAATTCTAATCTAATTAAACAAAAGGTTTGGCAATTTTGGCACCAAATGCAAATTTCTGAAACCAAGTCATTCTATTATGAGTCTGGTGTTTGGGCCTATTCAAGCCTTTTCTTGGGCTTGGCCTTTTGGGGATTTGGGCTTACATACAACGGGTGTGTATAATCTTTCGCAACATCTTTTGACAAACTAATTATGTGACCACTTATTGTGAGATGAATGATGTATATACACTCGTTACATGTAAGTTTTTCTTTTCATCATTTTCTTTAAAACTGTGCGAAATTAATTTTAGTTTTGTATCTGATCGCCAATATGCATGTGTGTGAACGACGATGCACATACTATTGATCAATCCTCACTCAAATGTTAGTGAGAGTCGAGACTCAATAATATTGAACCCCAGAAAGTGTACCCTTTTTAAGAAATCCATCAAAATCAAATCAAATCGAGCAAACCCTATATCATGCATCTTTTCACCTCTTACCAGACCAAAGGGTTAACCAATATGCTACTGATCCCTCATTACAGTTGTTTCACCAAATTTACAGCTCACACAAAAACACCTCCACCAAAATGTCAACTCAATCACAACCCTACGTTAATATATTACCCACCATACAAAATAGGCCATCAATTTCTATCACAGAAGCCCACGGGATGTAACAAGCTTCTTTGCTCTACAAAAATTTCTACCAGTCACTATATACAGTCCGTGACTTTGCCTAAAATATCGGCTCAGGTCTTAATATATGCTATATATATAGACTAGTCTTATAAACAGCGATAGTAACACTAAAACTGTTGGTTTTGATTGGCATATGGCCTGCAACTTCGACCCAATTGGATTGCTTTTCTTGATAGATTGTTTTTCATGGCTAAAGTTTGTTGTTCTATTGAGTTGGAGCCTAGGACTTTGAGTGAAGGACAACTCAACCATGCGAGGGTATATATTTAATGTATCTGCAGTATATTATTTGGATTAGGGTTTGAACTTCTTCTGATCTCCTTGTTTCTCATATCTGCAGGAACTGGCTGCTGATGTGGTTGAGAAAATGGAACCAGAAGAAGCCTCAGCTGTATTCATTCAGGTGTGTTTTTAACATATGCATTTGAATACATAATGAAATTTCATGCGCCGGCCCCTAGCTAATCTAAATTTGTGTGCAGGGACTGAGACCCGTTGGCTCAATGAAAGAGATGGTGCATATGGTTGCTGAAGAGGGTGAGCAACTGCAGAGTAAGGTTGTGGAGTGGAAGGAGGAGGAGGCTCAAATTCTTGAAACGCCCCCTTGCCAGTGCTTGTGCCCTACTGTCAATATTGAATCCCCCGATCAAGGAAGGCTTACCGAACCGTTGTCAGCCCCATTTTGAAACTTCTTGTTGTTTTGATTCATAATCTCACATGTCATGTTATTAGATTGTATGATATGAGAATATTATATATGTAAAATAAATATAAGTTTTTGTTAATATCTAAAACATATGGTTAACTCGTCTGATCAAGCATCACATTCCAACGATAAAATATTTATTAATATTGCCAAAAGAATGCACAAAGAAATTTGGATGTAAATCTTGGCTCTTCATAGCAATTTGAGTGTCGTTATTAGGCCAATACACATATGTTCTGCCGGGCGTTTATGTAATGTAATGCCTTATGTCATTAGTGCATGCCTGTAATGACATTACATATCTAAAAGTTTGGCGCCCATGACAAAAGAAGGTAAATATAAAATATACATATACACTAAATATTTTGTTGTGTTGATTGGAGTTTTTTTATATTTAAATTTATAAAATGTGGAAATAAAATTAAATTACAACGAAAAGCCCCGAGGACAATCAACAATCGAAGATTCTCACAGAAAAGCATACGTTGTCACCGGTAAAAAAGAGCGAATCCAAATATGCCGATCCGTGTCACAGATAAGATTTCTGGACTCACCACTTAATGGAAATATTAATGACAAATTTACTTTGTTAAAAAAAATAAAATTATCATATTCTAATACTTTGAGCAAAAATTTTATTTTAAAACAAATTTAAAATTAGGTGAATCAGGTGATATGAGATGAGTAGTTGCCTTTTTTTGTTTTTTGGGTGTAAATGGAAGCTCCTTCGAAAAGCAATCGAGAGGCCAAATGGGAAAGCGAGACGAGGCTAAAATCGTCATTTGGGAAAAAAACAATACGACCATTGTCCAAAGAGGAAAATTTGAATTCCTGGTTGATGAGGGTTTAGGGTTCCAAATTGGCTCCTATTTGAGCAGCTCTGCATTCTCAGTCACTCTCACAGACACACCCTCTTTAGGAGGGAAAAAAAAAGAAAGAAAGCACCTCCTATTTCAATCCCTAATCGCTGCCACACTCCTCATTGCCTCCAATTCCCAGGTACTCTCTCTCTCTCTAAGCTCGTGGTTTAGATTTACTACGCATTCGTGCTCTAACTGAGTCGATTTAGTTTTTTCGGTAATTTATTGACTTTCTTCGTTTCTCAGAAACCAAACGGAGAAAACCCATAGACTAGGTTTTGTTTAAACTGTGAACTATGCGATTTTAGTGTGGTTGAGTGTTTCATATCGTGTTTGTTTGAATTATTCACCGCATTTGAGGAATTTATATCTTTGATTCGCTTTGCTTATGTAAATAAATAAAGTTCCGGTTTTTATTTATTTATTTACTGTTAAAAGTCTGGCCTTCGTATTTCTTGTTCATATGATGATGTGTTTTGCTTGCTGAAAAGGAAAGAAATAAGAACGTAGATATTTTTTTTTAGGTAGTGCATTATTAAGTGAACCCAGGGTCCCTAAGGACTAACATTCTGCAACAACTGGTTGTGTGTGTTTTTTTGTTTACCTGAACAAAGTTACTTGTTTTATTGTTTATGTGGTAACCAAAAGGAGGGCTAAGTCTTACATTCTTTATTTTCCAGAGGAATCAGTACTTAAAAAAATTTCCAGGATGAGCACCACAGCACATAGAACTCCCAAATCGGGTAGGCAGTCATTGTTTTTCCAAGATATAACTTCGCCAGTCTCAGCCCGGAGAGGAAAAATTTCGACTCCAGGCCAGGCAGCTGCAGTCTCTGCTCTATGGCGTGAGAGTGGTGGGGGATCAGATCTTCCACCTCCTCCGCTTTACACATTGGAAGACCGCTCAGACTTTTCCCCTGAATCTGGAATTCCAGATTACCCTGTATCCCCGGAAATAAAATCAGATCCTAGAACTCCGGTCCACAGTTTCGGACGTGATTCCTTGACTCCAGTAAAAAACAGATCAGAAGCAAGCACTTCTTATGCTCTATCAAGTGGACAGCATGGCCAACAGGGTTCAGCGAGTATGAATTGGTGGTCATCCCCAAAGAGTGGTGGTGAGCAAGATGAGAAGGGAAGGAATTCACCAGTTGAGGGTGTTGTTCAGCCTGGTGCTCTGATCACTCTTCCACCTCCAAGGGAAGTTGCAAGGCCAGAGATGCAAAGGAATACCTTGCCTGCAGGGAACCTCAACGAGGAAGAGTGGGTTACTGTTTATGGGTAATTCTTTAACCTTACCTTTGTCTTTGTTCTTGGGTATATATAAATTCATACATCTTTGGCTGATATATAATGTATAACCTTCGACTTTAGTCTACCTTTGGTAATTATCTTATCCGTAATAATCCATCTTTGCTGTGTTGTGTGTGGTTTTGGCCTTATTGCCTGGTGGTTGTTGGGCAAAGAAAAGAGTTTAAAAAAGAAAAATAAAAGAAATAATATCTTGTTTTCCAAGCTATTAAAGGTTTCAGATATGCTTGAATCAAATGTACCCCTGACATACTTTTTAAACTTAAAGTGGTCAGTGATCATAAGAGCCTATTTTCTTGCCAAATGTGTCTGAAATCTCAAAAATCTTGAGAAATTTCTAATATTTGTTATAAATAAGTGTTCTACAGTGACAAATGTCTTTTAGCTGGTTATTGATGAGCAAGTGGTTTGTCGATTGACTCTTAATATTTCACAAACCACAACCCTCTCCCCAAGCCTCTGCTCCTTTTTGCTTCTTAACCACATAGAATTTGTTGAACTTGCAGAATAAAAAGGGGGGATCTTGTTCGGTAATTAAACATTTAGAAGTAAGACAATCTGATTATGTAATATATTTTATATGATGGTGATTGGTATTTTATAAATTTTGAACTAATTTATATAAATTGCCATACCGAGCTTCTAGCTCACAGTTTAGAGAACTGGTATTATTTCGTTATGCACTCTAAAACTTATATAGGGAACTCTCAAAACTTCTTTTTTTCTTTAATATCTCATGGTGGTTTTCAACGTTGTAGGGCAAAAGTTCTATAGTCTACTTATTGAAGCTTATTTGATCTCACTTAAGCTTAGACCCTTTGAAGTTATATTTATAATTTGGCTTGCTTGTCTATCTTCTTGAGTAATTAAAATGTAGTTTTTATTCAGTTATCCGTATAGCCTCTAATAGTCCTTTTTTTTTCTTTCAGATTTTCTCCAGGTGATACGAATTTAGTTTTACGAGAGTTTGAAAAATGTGGCATGATTTTGAAACATGTTCCTGGTCCAAGAGATGCCAACTGGATGCACATCTTATATCAGGTTCTTCTTTTTTCCTATTATTTCAAGTTTGATGAATCAAATTTCTTATACCAAGCATTAATATTCTCTTCATTCCTATTATTTCAAGTCTGTTGAATATAATAATAAATACCACCGTACATCACTTCCATTCAAACTTGGGTTTATTATTGGCATGATGCTGCCGTGAAATGGAAGGGAATTTGTAACACGATGTTGTGTGCATGGGTAGTGGTGAATTGATGTAGACCATTGTTGTTTGGTTAATATTTTGAAGTAAAGTTTGCCATGAAATTGAGTCAAAATAGTTAGGGATGATACTAAGTAGTCCTTCTGAGCTTTGCCCTTTTCTTTTGCCTTTTTGTCTGTAAAATTCTTCTGGGTTTGTTGTACTTGTAGTCTTTTGTGCGTGGGTCTATGTGTGCCAAAGACTTACCTTTATTCCCTCCTTTTCTCTTCGTTTGCTCAGTCTGGCTGAAGTATCAGACGGATGTAACTGCGATAGACTGAAGATATATCATGTCAATTTGAGTAAAAATTGTTAACTGTTCTTAATTCTGGTGGTGCAGAATTACTTTGATGCTCAGAAGGCTCTCAGCAAGAACGGGATGCAGATTAATGGGGCGCTAATTATAGGTGTGAAGCCACTGGATCCAATGCAACGCCATGCATTAAGTGAAAGGATCAACAATCAGGGTTTCATGACATTGCCCCCCCAACCAGCCATGAAACATGCAGAACTGAATGCTTCAAGAGCCCCCCCTCGTTCTTACTATCTTCAAAATGGTAGTACCAGTGCGCGACAATCCGGTGGTTCAATTGCTTCCCCAACAAAGTCAATGGTGTCCAAAGTCATGGATTTAATGTTTGGAGTTTAGCTGCTCTGGTCAACAAACTGGTACTGCGGCATTTGTGATGAGAAAATATAATTGTTGCGAAAAATTTGAAGCTTAGACTTGAAAGAGGTGTCTGGTCATTACGCCCGTATTAGTTGGAATTGTCTGGTCATTACGTCCTTATTAGTTGGAATCTCCTTTACTTATTTTTTACTCCAACATTTTCGAGGCTAATAAACTCAAGTCACTAGTGGTTGATGTATGATAATAAGTGGTTTTGCTTATTACATGCAAGTTGCATCTTGATGTGTGAGCACTGTTAATTTGCGATTTTTAGGTTACTACAGGATGTATCAGACTGATATCAAATGGAATGAATTTTATGTCAAATTGGCCGTACATGCTTACTTGTTCAGCAAGATTGCTGCCGATTTGTGGTCAGTCTTAAGCTGTCAAACTACGGTTGGTCTTAGGATTAAACTAAGGTTCGTCTTAGGTTTCTACGTATCCAGACCATCAAAACCATTTTCGCATGTGCTATTTCTAACTTCTACTCCCACTTATAGTAGAAAAATTTGTGTGAAATGGGGATAACACTGTTTTGTTATCTTGGGCCAATCACAGTATGCCAAATCGAAAAGTAATTACACGTGACATACCGTCATTGACCGGGAATAGCAAAATAGTGTTATCCCCGTTTCACACAAGTAGGTTTCTCTCTTATAGACTTGGTTAGAATATTGGTACAATTCAACTCTCAACATCATAAATTTGGAGCTAACAAACTTTGAGCCCGAGCTTCGCTAGTCACAATAGCCCATGCTGCCCTCAATGTTTCAACTCGAACCTAGAATCTTCGTTCCAATCCACCTATCAATCGCTTAAAATATGACCTCAAATTGAGGAGCAATGGAGCCAGAGATGACCTCCGAATGAACTGGAAGCTTTCGTCTTTCAGCAGTACAAGATTTAATGCTAATCTCAGTACTTATCACTTGTGATGGATGCCTACCACATAGGGAATGATGTGATTCATCATTCATCCACACTATCCGAATTTGCTATGCCCATCTGACGTTTAGGTATTTATTGTCTTCCCTAATCACTTTTTAATCCAACAATTATCGTGGATGAAACTTGAACTCAAAACCTTCGTTTGATAATGAGACCAGATAATGATTGAGGCCGGAGTTTGCCCGTGTTCTTGATTAGAAGTTCTATTTGTACGCAAAAGTGGATTAGGCCAATTGGTTAGGGTAGTGTGAGTCCGCCCCTTGCATCTAATATTTTGCCTAAACATAACATTTTTCTTTAGAATTTTATGTTATGAGTTTTTTTTTTTTTTTTGGGAGTAAGTATCATGAGGTGTCCGGATCAGCTTGCGCGCACCTCAACTAATCTACACTCGCGGAACTGAACCTGCTGCTAGCCACCAGGTGTTGGAATTGCTGGGACTCGAATTGAGAAGCAAACCCAACCGAACCCCAGAACCTTACCCAAATAGCAGACAAACTACCGGATCACTCTTAATGGTTTATGTTACGAGTTTTGAGAAGTAGCCAGAAGGCTCTAAAAATTGAAGAGCCCAATGAGGCTCTCCAGACTCCAGTGATGAAAATTAGAGGTCCTCATTATGTCATGGCTAGCTAGCAGTGAACTGTGAAGAGTCCAACCAAGAAAGCTGAAGTACGTATATAACAAGACAAGGCATCATTTCCATTGCAATATGTACACTCACGGGGCTCATCTTTTCTCCTCTACATTCTCTCCACCTGTCCCTCTCATGCAGCAGTTAACTTAAGCTAACCAATCCAAAAAAAACCTCCATAATTTATAATGTTGCAAGGACATTTAAAATACAATAAACTACGTAGGTAGAGGGAGAGAGAGAGAGAGAGAGAGAGAGAGAGAGAGAGAGAGAGCTAGCTAGCGATTATTTTTATAATAATCTCATGGGACAAAATCTAGGGTTACTCTAGTTATGCTCTATATAATAATGCTACATGTTTGAATGTTTATCATAAATTGTTCATGAATTACAATAATTTTTATTTATATATAATTGAAAATTGAATGAGTGTTGAAATTATACTTCTCTTCTCTTATCTTTACTAATGCATGCGTCTTGGAATTATTCTTATTCATGTTTCTCATAAGTTGACAAAAAATTAAAGAATAAAAAAACTATGTAAGTTTCACGTTAAAATTCATAATTCAATACTTTAAAAATTAAAAATTAAAAATAAGTACATACCAAATTTCATTATCTTCCACATTCCTAACTTTCCTGATTCAAAAAAGAAAAAGACAATTTTTGATTGTGAACATCATAGTATCATGAAATTAGAGAAGTAAAGGATAGAGATGTTAAGTTCAAACTTCCATGCAATAAAAGAAAAGAAAGTAAACAAATTGCAATTAGTTCTTGGCTGTATTCAAATGTAAGAACCGTAGGGTACGTAACCGCAGGGAACAGAGCCCTCCGGGTTTATAAAAAGCCACTAAACCAGTGCTCTACTTCGCAATTTGGCACACACACGTACTTTGTAACTTGTACCAGCATTTCCTTCACATCCAAATCCCACACAAACTCTTAGCTTACAAGAAGAAGAAGACACAGGAAATCAAATTAAGAGGAGAAATGGTGAGCAGCCGAAAAACGACGTCGGTCGAAGAGGAGGTGGTGGAGGTCGGGAAGGTGGTTGTAGAGATCAATGGAACCATGAAGGACGCCGGAGCACGTGGTTTGCTCCGGAAGGGTGACGTGGCACAGGTGTGCCTGAGGGTGATGTGCATGGTGGCTTCGGTGACGGCGCTGTCGTTCATGGTGACAGCCAGGGAGGCGAGCACTGTCTCCATCTACGGATTTCAGCTCCCCGTTAACTCCAAGTGGTCTTTCGCCGACTCTTTCGAGTAAGCACCTCCACTCCACTCCCCTCCCAAATTACTCAAACACCCTTCCCATGAAAACAAGAAGAGAGAGAATAATTTTAATTTAATGCATATATATGCGTTTTATTACCTTACCGATGAATAAAAATTTCATGTAACATGTTTCATATATTTTAGAAATCGAGAAAATAAAAATTTCATGTAACATATTTCATACATTTTAGAGATCGAGAGAAAAACATATGAAACATGAAATATGCAAATTTTTGTTCATATTAACCAACCGGAGAATCCAATCCAAGCATGACGGAGGTTTGTTGCATTTAGCACGTACTTTTTTCGGTTTACTAAAATGCCCCTGGACTTTCGCGTTTATTTACTACTGGGCTTCCACCCAATTTTGTCTTGGTTTGTTTGTCATGCTCCCTTGACTGATTCAGTTGAAGTTTGACGTTGACGAATTTGCCCTTGTGTTTGGCGCTTCCCTTCCCAAAATGACAACAGATTAATATTTGAGGCTCCCCCTGCCTGCCTAACCCCCTATCCAACATGCCATATGAATGAACAGAATAAAGACCCGTGACTGACTGATTATTCTTTTTCTTTTGTTTTCTCTAACGTTTTCTTATTCTATATTTTAGTCTTGATCACGTTTAAACATTTTGTCTGTCTTGTTGAAAATTCATAACTAATGGATGAAATGCTTTTGTGGATGAACCAACTTCATAATGGGACAAAAATAATCAATCGATCTGAAAATTGTAAAACCAAACAGATCATGCATGTAATGTATATGCTGGATCATGTATGTAATGTTTATTTTCAAGTCTTCGTTCACAAGTCATATTTACAGAAAGGTAGACAATTTATAAGACGTTAAGATATCTAATTGTGACTCTATAAAATAGACGAACATGGTGTTTCAAGAAAACACCAAAATGACAACCACCGGCATATAACAAAATTGTAGGAGTGTGATTTTGGGTGGATATGAAGGCTAAGTATAGAGTTAGTAAATGAATAATGTTTTGAATTTGTGGTGGGCAGGTATCTGGTGGGAGTTTCAGCAGCTGTGGTAGCTCACTCATTGCTGCAACTAGTAATAAATGTGTCAAGGCTGCTGAGGAAGTCTCCATTAATTCCCTCGAGAAATCATGCATGGCTTACTTATGCTGGGGATCAGGTAGTCACCACCATTCCCTCTATCACTTTTCTAGCCAAATGCAATTACATGGGAGACATATATATGGTGTAATGGAGAGCTCGGGTTTTATGGTGAAGTAGGGTAGGGGAATTCGAATTTGGGGTCTTGAGTCGAGTACATGGGTGAATGCTCTTTAACACTAGAGCTACAGAGTCGAGTATAGCGATTGATAGATTTAGATTTAGGGATAAAAAAGCTCTGTGATGAAAAAAAGAAAGAAAAGAAAATGATTATACATTTGCCTTTCAAAATTCGGCATCTACAATCTGAATGTGATCCTAGTGTTTTAATCTCTGTTACAGGTATTTGCATATGCAATGATGAGCGCAGGGTCAGCCGCATCCGGGGTAAGCAACCTGAACCGTACCGGGATCCGGCACACGTCTCTGCCTGATTTTTGTAAACCTTTGCACATTTTCTGCGACCATGTTGCAATCTCAATAGCCTGCACTTTCTTAAGCTGCCTCTTGCTGGCCATGTCTGCTATCCAGAATGTGATTTGGCTCTCAAACAACTGATGAGATGGAGTTGCATCATTTTGCACTTGCTTAATGTTCTTGCGCTTCAACTCTGTAATGATAGTTATGTAACATTAAATAAATTAATTAATCCCACTGTTTTTAAGGCTGGGAATTCTGGATGCTGGGTATGGTAAAGTTCCAAATGCTGGGAATTCTAGATGGATGCCTATGGTGCAATTTGATAATCAGCTTGTTAGAATGCTTCTGCTAATATGGTTGCTAGTATTGGGCAAGAACTGATGCTACTGGCCATTTTTGTGGAAACTACGTGCCTATATGTCAGTCACCAATGCAATACCCAAGTTAACAGAGTTAAAAAAAGAGAAAGATTTCCTATTCTAATGAGGAAAAAGAAAGAAACAGAGAAATACTCTTCCTGCACATTATAAATGAAAAACAAAAAAATCTTGGATATGCAAGGATGTGAGAAGCGGGAACTTCATTCGTTAAGTTTGTAAAAAATTATGTTAAAACTGTTGATGTGGTGCGTGTAAGTTTCACTGATTTGTTCATATTAATTTTCACATCATTCTTTGCGCATAAATGTCACCCGTATGACGATATATATAAAGAAGTGAGACGCAAAATAACGGTTAGACACATACAACATAATTGACTGACAAAGTGACCAATATTAGGATTGGGTTTTAATAAACAAAGAGCCCCATACAATTTTGGGCTTGGGACTGGACTTGTACAACTAAATTGGACTACTACATAAAACCACTATGAAAAAGGGAAATTATTGTAACGTCGTCGTTTTATGAACCCTCTCCGTCGTCTCTATACTCTATCTCGCAGAATACACAAGTGTTTTAGCTTTGAAAGATTTTACAGAGCACAGAAACTGAAGAGAAGATGCTGAAGATGGAAGCTGATTATGCTAAAAACTCACGCACTTCCTCAGCTTCACTTCTCATCAACATCACCTTCGCTTCTCAAATGTAGCAGAGTGGCACAATTAAGCTTTCACAAACCAAAACTCCATGGCCTGCCAATGCCTTCTGGGCTCTTACTCATCTTCTTCTCTATCCCCAAACCCCAAACCCAAAACCCTCAATAAAAACCCACCAAAACCTCTCGCTCCATCCTCCATTTCCTCCCACCTCTCAACCACGGATGATAATGATGAAAACGATAAAACCCAGAAACCCAATTTCGATTTCCTCAAGCTTTCTGTAACTCTCACTGTAATCTCCACCGCTCTCCCTCAAATCCCAACCGGCATAGCCGCCGTCAAAGAGAAAAGGCGAGTGCCCAAGAAGTACACGCTCAAAAAATCCGAAGCTTTATCTCATCAAGAGCTCGAGTCTTGGTCCCAAGGCCTTCCCGTCGTCTCCAATCGAATTCCGTACTCCCAGCTCTTGATATTGAACCAGGAAGGTAAGCTCAAACATGTTATCAAGCCTCCTGGTGTTGAATTGCAAAAAAGGGTAGAGCCCGTATTGGTTGTTCTCGAAGATAATCGGGTTCTACGCACCGTTTTGCCTTCGGTGGATAGCGATAGGAGGTTTTGGGAACAATGGGAAGAGTTGAAAATCGAGTCTTTGTGCGTCAATGCCTATACGCCGCCGCTTAAACGGCCGGAGATTCCGTCACCGTACTTGGGGTTTGTGGCGAAATGGCCGGCGTTTTTGTCGTCATTTGTGAAGCCGAAGAAGGAGAGCAAGAGAGCTATGGAGTTGAGGAGAGCAAGGGAGGAGTTTAAGATGCAGAGGAAGGAGGAGCTTGAGAGAATGAGGAAGGAACGAGATATGATCGATAAGGCCATGAAGGCCCAGAAGAAAGAGGAGGAGAGGAGAGCGAGGAGAGGGATGAGGAAAAAGAAACACGATGAGTCGTTGCGTCAGGCACGTAGGAATTATCTGGAGATGGCCAATGTATGGGCCAATTTGGCTCAGGACTCCAATGTTGCCACTGCGCTTGGACTGGTGTTCTTCTATATTTTTTACAGGACCGTAGTGTTTAGTTATAAGAGGCAGAAGAAGGACTATGAGGATAGGTTGAAGATTGAAAAGGCGGAGGCGGAGGAGAGGAAGAAAATGAGGGAATTGGAGAGGGAGATGGAGGGGATTGAGGGTGAGGAGGAGGAGGAGATTGAGCAAGGGAAGGGTGAGCAAAACCCTTATTTGAAAATGGCTATGCAGTTCATGAAGTCGGGGGCTCGGGTGCGTCGAGCTCATAATAAGAGGCTGCCTCAGTATTTGGAGAGAGGCGTGGATGTCAAGTTTTCGGATGTAGCTGGCCTTGGGAAGATCCGGCTTGAGCTTGAGGAGATTGTCAAGTTCTTCACTCATGGTGAAATGTATAGGAGAAGAGGAGTTAAAATACCAGGTTAGATGCTGTAGCAATGCGGCTGAGCTATTGACATTGTTAGATAGCTTTTCTTATATGACATGGTTTCTGTGCTTAATATATGACTTATATGACTGCCCTTGTGTTGAACGATTGTTGATATGCCCTGGTTATTCTCTGATTCCACTGAAAGCACACTGATTTGATTGTTCTGTTTTCCCAATTATTTTCCATTTACTTGTTTGTTTATTGGTATTGCTTTATGCATGATTTATTTTGTGCGGGTCATTAATTTCTTGATCAGGTGGGATACTTCTTTGTGGCCCTCCTGGAGTGGGTAAGACCTTGCTTGCAAAAGCTGTAGCTGGTGAGGCAGGCGTCAACTTCTTTTCCATTTCGGCCTCTCAGTTTGTGGAGATATATGTCGGGGTTGGTGCATCTCGTGTCCGAGCACTTTATCAGGAAGCAAGGGAAAACGTAAGTGTTGACGTTCGCTGTTCAATTTCACTCTCTTGACACTGCACCAACCACCATACTTCACATTTTTTCCACACCATGTCCTTTTAATTTCCTTATACAATAGGCTAGTCTGGAAACTAGTTTTCAATAATATTATTGCATCAGTAAGTGTTAAATGATGGCATTTCTCTGTTTAATCATTTTCAAGGAGATAACAGATACAGGTGAGAAGTTGTGCCTTTCTTGTTTGTACTTTTCTTTTAGAGGGTGTAGCAAAGGTGCACAAATTGTTACATCTCATGATTTTTGAGTTTATATGCACAGGCTCCATCGGTTGTCTTCATTGATGAGTTGGATGCTGTTGGAAGGGAGCGTGGTTTGATCAAGGGTTCTGGTGGGCAAGAACGTGATGCTACTCTTAATCAGGTTAGGTTGGGAATATATAAATGTTTTTTTATTTGAACTTAGTACTAAATTTTTTCAACTAAACTTCAACTTTTGTAAATTGTTCATTCTTGTGTGTATTCTCCAGCTCCTTGTTTCTTTGGATGGGTTTGAAGGAAGAGGTGAAGTGATCACTATTGCTTCCACAAATAGACCAGATATTCTAGATCCAGCTCTTGTCAGACCTGGACGGTTTGATCGAAAGATATATATCCCTAAGCCTGGTCTTATAGGTCGCATTGAAATTTTGAAGGTAGTAGTCCATAACTTATATCCTGTACCATTTGCACTGCATATATGGCATTGCAAGACTGCCCCATTTTCAATTGCCCCAATGATTTATTGTTTCCATAACTGGCTTATATTTTTCCAGTTTGTTTCCGTGTCCTGATTATAGGTCCATGCACGCAAGAAGCCTATGGCTGAAGACGTGGACTATATGGCTATTGCTAGTATGACTGATGGAATGGTTGGTGCAGAGCTAGCTAACATAGTTGAGGTTGCCGCAATCAACATGATGCGTGATGGAAGGACTGAGGTATTACTTCCTCTTATTAGATTACACCCCTTATCATTTGATTTTTCTGATTGATTGATATTGCACCTTGCACTAAAAAGAGAAGATGAAAAGAAATATGAGTGATGAAAAACCTTTATAAAAAAGAAGAAGGATGAAAACAAACTTGGCTAAGTTATGTATCAATGTGTTTACTAGATTTGCCGGGGGCTAATTATGAATGTGAAAGTTATTTAGGTATTCTGTATCTATCACCTTAAAACATGTGCTAGAGGCTCGAGCTCGGGATTGGTAATACAAATATAATAATTATGTTTTTGAGTAGCATCCCTACTTATTATATGTCGTTGTTTAAAATGCCGGCCAGTGTTATTAGCAAATTGGAGAAGCTTATGAGATCCTTTTTATGGGAAGGAGTGGAGGAAGGAAAGAGGGATCATTTGGTTAAATGGGAGATGGTGGCTAACTCTAAGGAGGAAGGTGGGCTGGGTGTGGGTTCTTTGAAGGAAAAGAATGAAGCTTTGCGTGCTAAATGGTTATGGCTCTTCCCCATGGAACCTAATTCTCTTTGGGCTATGGTGGTTAAAAGCAAGTATGGGTCAGCTACTAATGGGTGGGATGCTAATCCCGCTACTACGGTTACCTCTCTCAACCCTTGGAAGGACAGTTCAGCGGGTAATCAAACTTTTTTACAGTGCTGCAGTTTCGAGGTGGGAAATGGGATTAGGGTCAGGTTTTGGAGGATAGTTGGGTAAGGGAGGGGTTGTTGAAGGACTCTTTTCCGCGCTTGTTTGCGCTGTCTTCAAAGCATTCCTTAAGCATTGACTGTTTTGTTGGTTCTCAGGTTTTTCCTCATGATTGGGATTTTGGGTTTAGGAGAAATGTGAATGAAAGGGAGACTGCCGAGGTGATTAAGTTGCTGGAAATTTTGGAAGGAGTCAGATTGTGTGCTTCTAAAAGGGCTAGGAGAAGGTGGGATCTTGATGTGTCGGGTTATTTCACTAGCAAGTCCTTTCAGTCCTTTTTGCGCTACAAGGGGAGGGTTGTGACCTTTCCCCCTTTCTCTCGTGTGTGGAAGGCCAAGTCTCCCCCTAAGGTCAAAGTCTTTGTTTGGTTGGTGGCGCTTGGGAAAGTTAACACTTCGGACCTTGTCCAAAGGAAAAGACCTTTTATGTATCTGTCTCCTCATTGGTGTGTGTTATGTAAGCATTGTGAGGAGAGTGTGGACCACCTACATTGCCCTTTTTCCTTAAGTCTTTGGGGGCTTTTGTGGAGGGAGGTTGGGACTGTTTGGGTGATTCCGAAAGGGTGCTCTGATTTCCTTTGTTCTGACTTTGTGGTTTGGGGATCAGGGAAAAGCGCTTCAACCTTATGGGGCTGTTTGGTCCACTCTGTTTTTTGGAACATTTGGATGGAGCGTAATAGGAGAATTTTTGAA